ACACACACATCCCCCCAACCACACACCACATGCAATATACAAGAGAAGACTTTATTTTCAAGCTATTATGCAATCATCTCTATACACATGATACAAATGCAAATAAATCAGGACAAACATATCTTTTGAAATAAAATTAAAATATGTTATAGTAGATGTTTGACTTTTGGTATATGATTTGTTTTTTCCTGGTTCCAAGATGGCATCTACACAGTCAAATGGGTCGCTAACTGGCTGGAGGGCAGCACATAGAGAGTGGTGGTGGATGGGTCATTTTCGACCTGAAGGGGTGTGGGCAGTGGGGTCCCCCAGGGCTCAGTCCTCGGACCCACACTGTTCAACATTTTCATCAGTGACTTGCACAAGGGGGTAAAAAGCACCCTGTTCAAATTTGCTGATGACACTAAGATGTGGGGGGATGTGGGCACGCTAGAAGGGAGGAATAGGCTGAAACTGGACCTAGACAGGTTACAGGGGTGGGCAGATAATGGGTTTCAACACTGACAAGTGCAAGGTGCTGCGCCTGGGGAGGGAGAACCAGCAGCATACTTACAGGCTGGGGAACTCCCTTCTTGTCAGCACAGAGGCAGAAAAGGATCTCGGAGTCACTATTGATTCCAAGATGAACACGGGCTGCCAACGTGGAGACGTGGTCAGGAAGGCTAACCGCACCTTATCATACATCCATAGATGCATCATGAGCAGGTCCAAGGAGGCGATTCTCCCCCTCTATGTGACGCTGGTCAGGCTGCTGTTGGAGTATTGCGTGCAGTTCTGGGTGCTGCACTTCAGGAGGGTGAGGACAGCATCGAGAGGGTCCAGAGGAGGTGTCATGGTGGGGTCCTGCAGGAGGGCCGTGATCTCCTTAAGGCCCCCTCTCCGTGTCAAGTTGACCCAAGGGCACCCTCTATTTCTCGTCTGCCACGTCTTTGATGGTCTAAATTGGTTGGGAGGCTGCCTTACGCCCTCTTGGACACGTCTCTATGTTTATTCGGACCCCTCGTGGGTCTTGTCCTGTAAACGGGTGCTTCGGAGCACCCTAACCTTATGGGCTATGCGTGGCTCCAACCAACCCTGATACCACGCCCCAAGCCTCGCAGATGGAATTGACGTTGGTCTGTCTCTCTGTCTATATTCATGCCCGTCTCCTGGGCCTTCTCTGGTGTGCGGCCCCCTTCTCTGGGGCCTTCTCTGAGTGCTGCCCCCTTCTCTGGGGCCTTCTCTAATAAGGTGCTCCCCTCTTCAGGGCTCGCCGTGCCCACCTTGGGCTTCTTAAAATGCTGCCCTCCTCCTGGGGCTTGCCACGCCCATGCTAGGGCTTCTCAAAAGTGCGCACCCCTCTCTGGGGCTTGCCACACCCACACTGGGCTTCTCAATAACGCCCCGTCTCTGGGGCTCATCACGCCCACACTGGGCTTCTCAATCATGCCCCGTCTCTGGGGCTGGGGTCTAAGCACCCCATAAGCTGCGCCCTCCTGGGTGCCGGGGTCCTCACCCTCCGCTGTGAGGTCCCTTTAAGGATACTGCATCCTCACTGGCGCCGGGGTCCCCGATGAGGCCTCCTCCAACCCCTTATAGCCTCACCCAAACCACCGGTGTAATAACAAAACAAAACACAAGCCCCTAGGCTACAACATAACTATAAGCCACCAGGCTGTAACCACATTGCTCCAACATCTTAGAGCTGCCTTCTGTTATCTGGCTTAGGCAGTACCTGCGGTTCCCACTGCTTCTTGTATCATGGATGAGGGAGCTCCTGCCTCTCTGGCTGCTGGGCGGGGAACGAGCCGTGGGCGTTATAAGAGCCAGGCCCTGCCTCCTACAGGCATCTGACCACTGGCAGGGGTGGGTCATTTTCTCCCTCCAGTTGCCCTGGCAACCCACAGGTGGGCTCCTATTCCCTGCTAGGGCTCTTTATGCACTGCCAGAGCTTTTCCTCTGGCAGTTTCTGCCCTCTAGGAGCAGGGCACCTCAGTGCTCTGTGACAGGAGGGCCACTCGTATGATCAGGGGGCAGCAGGGCAGGCCCTACAAGGAGAGGCTATGGGACCTGAACCTGTTCAGCCTCAACAAGAGAAGGCTGAGAGGGGATCTGGTGGCCATCTACAAACTTGCCAAGGAGGACCAGCAGGCAGTGGGAGAGTCCCTGTTTCCCTGAGCACTACCGGAACTAACGAGGAATAATGGCCATAAGTTGACTGAGAGTAGATCCAGGCTAGACATCAGGAGGCACTACTTCACAGTCAGGGTGGCCAGGAGCTGGAACCAACTTCCAAGGGAAGTGGTGCACACTCCTACCCTGGGGGTCTTTAAAAGGAGGCTAGACATTCACCTACCCAGGGTCGTTTGACCCTGCATTCTTTCCTGCCATGGCAGGGGGGTGGACTTGATGATCTGCTTAGGTCCCTTCTGACCCTACCAACTATGAAACTAGGTTCTGAGGCTGGACTAAGCTGAGGGCTCAACACAAGAAGGCAACATCTGCGAGGCTTGGGGCGTGGTAAAGGAGTGGTTTTGGAGTCACGCATCTAGTCCATAAGGCTTAGGGGTATCGTAAGGCACCTCCTGTGCGTGGGACCCAATAAAGGGGTCTAGCTACCCACAGGGTTTAGAAGAGACTTTTAGAACTGTGTCCAAGCAGCAACATGAGGGCAGCCTCCCAATCCATCATTTATAACAGCAAGACATGGCAGGTGAGATTAGTAGGCACCCATAGGGTGGACCTGGCATGGTCATTGTACCCTAGGGACATCACAAGCATCCCAGGGGTGGCAATACCCTGGCATACTCCTCAATAGCAGGCTTCCTTTGAGTGCAAAGAGAATCTGGTCCAAAGAGGGAGGTAGCTTTTCTATTGTCATGACCCTTGTCTTGCATGATCAGTCATGAGGCTCTTAGAATACCAGTCTTGCCTCATTGTTGGATTGCTGGCGCAAAGACTAAGGCTTTTCAGTCTTCCTCTGGATTCATATATCTTGCAAGCTTTGTTTATTTCACTCATGTCTCTTTTCAAGGCTTTGGACAAATAATCTGAAAGGCTTACCTTGCATACCTGCATCTTGATTCAAATTAGAACACTGATTTAGAAAAGTCTTGTTTAGAAAGCAATTTTACATACATTTAGGGTCAAATCCAAAAGTACATTTCAGTATGATTTTGGATCTGGGCCTTAGTGTTTTGTATACTATAAAAGCTAGGATTTTTTCCTAAAAGAAAATTAAATAGAATATATTAAAAAAGATGCATGAGAGAGCTTGACCTTATTCAGAAGAAAAGCTTTTCATGACTGTTACTAAAAAAATTGAGACACAAGTCCTGCAAAAATAGCCAATTGGTAGGGTTGTTCTTCAACAGTGACTCGACCTAGAACCATCAGAAAAAATAAAATGTAATTGAAATACCTGATGACTGCTGTAGTCATTATTTCCATGAACAAGACAGTTTACAGTAATCTTGCTATTTGACAACTGTATGATATATTTTAATAGTTGATAGATGAGAAATCTTCTTTAGCTGATATGTTAAAAGCCTGTCTTGCAGCTGGAGCCCAGAGATCTAGGTCCAGACCTGCAAGTATGGTATATTACAGTTAACAGTACACCCAGAATCCTATTTTAATGATATTTATACACCTTCATAAGTTTCAAAAATAGCCTTCTTATTTATAATATGTTGTTGACATCTAGAAAGTGTTCTGAAACATGAGAGAAATGTAAAAACAGCTCTTTTCTATACTTTTGCGAAGCGTAAATTTTCTTTGTGCTCAGTGAAACCATGTCACTCTGCAATACTTGAAGCAGGTAGATTTTGTTACTGGGCTTCTGCTGCAGCTTTTAAAGGCAGGAAGGGTAAAATGTTTAAGAAATTATTTGAAAATGAAACATGATTCTCTATCATTGAAAATCCATCATTGAGGCTGACAGAGAAAAGGAAAAAGCCAACAGAGAATGTGTTTTGTTATAGCCCTTGTCAGCAATACATCCTCACAATGACCAAAACAAAGGTAATGGGGTGTTCTACTGCTTGTACACAGCACGCTTGCGTCAGTGACCATTACAGAGCTAGTGGGGTGCTTGTAACAGTGGGCTTCAGCAACGGGTTCTTTCCACAACAGTTTAAAACTGTTAAGAAGATCTGGGTGTTAGTGTCTGCATCTCACCTCTTTATTTCAATAACTGGATTGCCCCTATTTCATTTACCTAATATGTAACATACTATACTGTTTGTTTGTTTTTTACATAAAAGAAAAAAGACAGTTGTTCTAAAAATACCCACCTATGCCCTAGGGAGGTTATTTTGTTGTGATGAAACATGCATTTGTGTACACTAGATTAGAATAATGGTTTTATTATTGTGGCAGTATAGGATTTATGATTTTCCTACCTATTCATTTCCTTACTGGTAAGTACATGGTTACTGGTTTTGTAAATGATGTGCTAGTTAGTACACTGTTGTAACTCAGTAACGTTAACTGGTTTTTGAAATGTCTGATTGCTTATGGAACCTTTTATGCTTAGCACACAGAGAAACTGTTTTGTATCTTGCAGTGCATTATTCTACCTACGTCATAGGTAAACTGTCTCCTTTTGTCCCTGAACCAAACTATTTTTATTTTAGTGCTGTTGGAATTATTTCCATATATTTTCCATCTATTGTTCTGAAATAATGGTGAGACAGACTTTATCCTAGTGCAGGGGCAGGCAATTATTTCAGGTGGAGGGCCATTTACTGAGTTTTGGCAAGCCATCAAGGGCCACATGACAGGCAGCCAGGGGTAGATAAATATTTATTTTCTAAATTTTTTTAGGGCCTTGCAGGCCAGATAGAATGGTCTAGTGGGCCGCATCTGGCCCATGGGCTGCATTTTGCCCGCCCCGTCCTAGCATATCTCCAATGCCTTTGACAGATAGATTAACCTCATGCCATCGTTAATTCCAGCATTCAGAATTCCAGTGATGATATAGTCTTCTGTTTCTCTTTCTACCCCTTCCTCTTCTTCAGGCTTGTCTCAGGAGCAAGTTACAGTTGCTTTCTGCCTGAAGCAAGTTGTGGTTTCAAGAGGACACCTACAATATCAGATGGTGGGATACAGAGGAAACTTTTTCAATATGAATATTGTCTGGCTGTGGTGAGACCATGAGTTGTTTTTTTTTAGACTTTAAACTGCTTTCTTTGGAAGTGTATTTAAAATTCTCTTACTCTTCAGTTTTTCAGAAGCTGATTTGGTAGGGGTTTGGTAGTTTGACTCTAGGGTGATTCCCTTCCACAGGGCCAGCAAACAATTTTTGGGGGCCCCCTGCAAGACATAGTTTGGGGGCCCCCTGCTCCATTGGCAGAGATGACTGTAGCAGGGTGGCAGGCCCGGGGAAAATCAGTGTGTGCGGGGCCCCCTTTCCCATCCCACAGCACGCTTATGCCGGTAAATGAATGTCCCAGCACACCAGACATGGGGGGAGGGGTTGTGGCCAGAATTTCTGGCTGGACTAGTTACACAAACATCCAACCTGTTGGGTGGGTGGGCAGGCTACACGGCAAGCACAGCAGCCACTGCCAAACGCAGGAGGGGCCATGGCCTCTCTGCCTGGCTCTGTGGGGCCCCTTGGATGCGGGGCCCCCTGTGACCGCAGGATAGGACAGGCTGGCCCTGCCCTTCCAATCAGCAGCATTTATTAGAAGGGCTTTATCTGCTGTTGGGGGTTCATATTTGGTATTTTACTTATTAGCACCATTGAAACTGAGGGAATTAATCTGGCTCGTAATCTTTTGAGGAAACTGATCCTGCAACCATAGATGCACTTTTTTTTATAACAAATGAGGCTATTTGCATGTTGAACTTTTAAAGCATATGCTTTAGGTTTTGCACTGCAAATGAGTAGCATGGAATTTTGATGCATTGGTGTGCCTATTTTGTGTGTTGTTAATATATTAACAAGTAGAAAATGTTGTATTTTTATATAACATATCAAACCCACCATAAATTAAAACTTTGCTTTGCTGAGATGCTTACTGTTTTGCAGTCCTGAAGAATAATGCAGCTGCAAAAATGAACAGCAAATGATAAGTGCTTAAATGGTACCATAAATCACATTTTAGAAGACTGCCAATATGTTTTACAAAATGGATTTCTCTGGAAAAATGTAAAATACAAAAACACACTGTACAAATTTCAGTAATAGAACAGCAGCTCTACTGCAGTACATATTGCAGCTTAAATTGGGGCAAACTATAAAATGAAGTTATCCTGAGAGCAGCAATGCTCTGTGATGCTGCTGCACTTCTTGAACCAAATCAAAAAGGGCACGTCTGTAGAAACACAAATTTCTCGATCCAAGCTGACACTTGTACAGAGAAACATGCAGTGATTAGCTTTTATCTTGTGATTTATACATTTGCATATGCAAATAGAGAGCTTTGCTGATGTGATGGGTCTTCATTTATTTTTCATGAGTTCAGCTGGACTCTGATGCCACTCTCATAAGCATCCCTAAGGATTATAATGGTTAGAGCAAGAAACTCGGGAGCTAGGACTCTGGAGTCCTGTTTCCAACTCTGTTATTAGTCTGCCATATCATCTTTGACACACCATTAATCCTTCTGTGCCTGTTTCATTATCCCTGAATTGGGTTGCCAATACCTTCCTCACAGAATTGTGAAGTTTGACTAAATTTTTAAAGCCCTTTGAATGTATCAGATGAAAGGATCTGTATACATTCAGTGTGTTATGATCAGGCACACCTAAATGAGCTAATTGGCAAACATCATTAAAAATAAATGGGGAGCTATGTGCCTAGCTCCCTAAAACTTGAACATTACATCCTTAAGTCTACTCAACTAGCAGTTAATCAAGCATATCTAATTATTTATTAACATTACTAGAGGGCCAAAATTATTTCTTGGGGAAAGCATTTGTTTATACTGAGGTAACTGGATGGATAGGCAAGCTGCTGGGTATTTCACTCAGCTGACCTTCACTGTTCTGATTTGCTAGAAAAATCTGCCTCCTGAATACTTCTGGCAATAACATCACAACCTCAGGCAGGTGTGACTTAGCTGATGATTTTTTCTAACTCCTGCCTTCCAGAGGTGGGATTTACTAGGCAAGATGCCAAGAGGATTGTAGCCAAAATCCTTTTGTATAGAGCAGTTGGGCTCACTTCCTTTCTTATAAATACAAACCAGGGCTGTTCTGTTTATTGGATTTAACCTGATATATCTAAAGATCATGAACTTAACCTCCTTATTTACGTAAAGACTGGGTTTCAAAACTATTCATATTTCTTCTTATAATGAAAGCAGAGGGCTCCCATTCAGTCTAAAATGTACATTTGCTCACAGAAAAGCTACAGGAGATGTTTCTACCCTCTTGGGACTGTTGAACAGAATGCTGGTCTGTGTGCAGAAGACGCTGTTGGCTAGTTTTGAACAAAGGTGAGTATGTGCAATGAAGTTGGAACTAAGTCAGAACTTTGCCAGGGCTGAGCAGTGTCTGGAGCTGAAATGCTATTGAAAAAATCAAATCAGGATCAGAACTTCTTTCATGCTGAGTATTCTGTGATTTCAGCTTGGGCCTCTATCTTTTTATACAGAAGATTTGGATAGAGTTCAGGTGGATGCTTAGGTTCAGTAGAATATTTTGTCTTTTCAACTTTTCCAGGAGATTTTAGAAAAATTGTAGATCGAGGACAGATATAGTTAGGAGCAAAGCAAAATTGTCTTTGATAAAGAAGGCAGAAATATTTTTTTTTCTTCAAAGGATTTCTGTTGCTTTTTTATGTATAATAGTTTTAAAGTTCTTATGGTGAGAACCTGAGGCACTTAACTATGTATTAGATAAACACAGTATATAGTGTTTATACAGAACTATTTGAAAATAATGTTTTTAATTACAGCTGGCATTTCTGAGCCTTAATTGCCTATTCATCCTGGTTTTACTGTAGCAGAATTCTAACAAGTAAACAAATATTTTGTTAAAGTATTACATGTGAAAGCTAATACATATGTATATGTCTATACTACATCAATAAGCATGTTTATACAGTGATGCAAACTCTATTCCGTGTGTAGTCATTCCAACTATAACAATATAATGACTACCTTGAGGAAAAAAAGAGACATAATGTCTCTTAATTTTGATATTTCGTAATTTTTCTTATTTTTAAATGGTATTAAAGCATCTTGGAAACTGTTTTGTATTTTTCTTAAAGTACACCTGGCTTTCAAGCTTTCCAGATCAGTGGAATCTTGAGTAGAGAGAGCTATAAAAATGGTTACATTTATGGGAGAGGGACAAGGACAAGGTTTCCATATGAGATGAGGCAAGTTTCACAGATCCTCTTTTTTTTAACGGAAGTTCTGCCTAGGCACTCCACATAAAGCCTGTCCAGTCTCTCTTGCAGGACCCTCTTCATCCCATCTTTGTGTGGCTTCTAGAGGAGTCTGATGCCTTTGAGACTCTGTCCGGCTCTCCCAGCTTTCCGTAGCACCTCCACCTCAGAGAGCTCCTTTTTTGCTCAGGTCCTAGGAAGGGGCCAAGTCAGAATGCAGACATCCCAGACAGCATCACTTCACACCAAAGAATCTTTATTGTACCACTGAAGGTCCCACCAGCCTCCAAGCACCCCGACATCAGCTCAGCTGTTTGCGCGTGTTACCCGGTCTTTCCCTGGACTCCTGCTTTTTCTCTCCCTCCAGCTTCTTCAGAGCCTCCTTTTCTTCTCAAGCACAGTGTACTAAGGTTGTGCGAGGCTTTGACTTCGGAGAAGATTTAGATGCTTTGGCGTCCAAAGCAGCATGTCTGGATCGAAGCACTGTCTTCGTTAGGCTTTCTAAAGTGCTTCAGAAAAGCTTTGGAGCCGCTTTGGAGATCCGGCCATAGGGTATAATGGGAAAACAATGAAATATTTATAACTTTTTTTTTCATCTGATTTGGATGAAATTTTCAGAGATTGTAGCCTCTGCTGTGAACATGAAGCCTGCCAAGTTTCAGGAAGTTTGGTGCAGGGGTTCGGGAAGAATTGCACCCCAAATTCTTGAAAGTAAAACTGATGTCACGTATATGTGTTACATTACAGCGGGGTGAAAACTTCAGGGGTGGTTGCCCTGGCTGAGGCCACAAAGTCTGCCAAGCTTCGAGAAGATTGGTGCAGGGGTTGGGGGGAACTGCACCTCAAGCTGCGGACAAGCAAAACTCGTGCCATGGGTGACACTGTGTGTTCAGGCGCAGCGGGGTGAAACACCTGCCAGCTGTCGAGGAGATAGGTGCAGGGGTTCTGGCTTCTGGGCCCGTTCTGGCTTCTGGTCCCTTCCCCTCTAGCTGCTGACAGACAAAACTCGTGCCATGGGTGCTTATGCAACTGACTGTCTCTGTCTTGGGGCATGGGAGACACTACTGCAGGCCTGGCTGCTAAGTTACTGTGTTACCAGTTACCAATCAATCATGATTCACTCAGGGACCAGCTCAATACACAGTACCTAGCTAATTAACCAATTAATTACCATCAATTAACACCTACAAAAGCAGAGACTAAGGAGAGGAAATAATCAATACAGACAATCAACTGCCCCAAGACAGACACAGTCAGGTGCACAAACACCCATGTCGTGAGTTTTGTCTGTCAGCAGCTAGGGGTGCTGGGCCCCAGAACCCCGCTGCACCAATATCCTTGACAGCTGGCAGGCTTCATGGCTGCAGCAGGGGCCACCATCCCTTCAGCTTTCACCCTGCTGCACCTTAACACACACAGGGTCACCCTTGGCATGTTTTGCTTGTCCGCAGCTTGAGGTGCAGTTCCCCCCAAGCCCCTGCACCAATCTTCTTGAAACTTGGCAGGCTTTTTGGCCTCACTAGCGGCCACCACCCCAGCAGTTCTCACCCCCTGTATTGTAACACATAGATGTGACATGGGTTTTTTGCTTTCAAGAATCTGAGGTATAGTTTCCGCAAAACCCCAGCACTGATCTTGAAACTTGGCAGAAGTCATACTTGCATCAGGAGCTACCGCTCCTGCAAGTTTAATCCAAATCAGACAAAAAACTCCCAAAGTTATAGATCTTTCATTTATTTCCCCATTATACCCTATGGCCAGATCTCCGAGGTGGCTTCAGAGCTGCCTTGGCCAGATTGAAGCAGAAACCCTGTCTGGAGCTCCACATCAGATCCCTGGCATCCAAAGCGGTGGGATCAGATTGCTGATGACTGGCACAGGCCTACAGTGTACCACATTTCAGTTTTGTTATACTTTGTTGCTAATAGTTAACCTGGGGGTTAACAGTCACCCAGTACAATCAAACTTTGTCATGTACCAATTAGAAAGCAATCTACAGCACCTGCTGCTAGGCCCAAACTGTTATCTTCCCCTGTGGTGAAAGACATCTAGATGCCCTACTATGTAACTGTCTACAGCAGAAGATGCTCACAATGAGTTCTCCAAAGTGTTTACCACAAGAACCCTAGGCCAGAACTCAGCACACTTAACTTTTTTGGCAATCCAGGGTGTTAGCTAGATGTCTAATGGCCTTTTAAACTGTTCAAACAACTTCATGTTTTGTAGCCAGGACTTAAAATCTGACAGGATATTTATTGCTGCTGTGCCTTTTGCCACCCCTACATAAGCCTGCCTAATTTGGGTCAGTTTTTTTTTCTTTTTTTTTTTTCTTTAATCTTCTTGAAGACCCAGAAGTCATCATGCTTGGATAGCTCCCAGTTAGTGCTATGGTTTTTTAGGAGAAGAGAATTTTAATCTCAGAATTTTCTGTTAAGCATGCAAAATGTGATTATTTTTTGGTAGTGTTTTTAATAATAGAGCAATTCCTTTGTTGCAGAGTTTGAAAGACCACAACAAGTCAGAAATATTTTTGACACTAGATTCATAGTTGAAATTTCTGGGTTTATCTTGTGAATCATGGTTGCATATATATCAGTGCTAATATTGCATGGTGCCCTTTGAAAAGGATCTTATAGCCTAAAACAGTGGTTGTCAACCACAGGGTATGAGTACCCCTAGGGGTACTTAAAAAGGTCATAGAGGGTACACAGAACTGATGCAGCTGATAATGTGGATGACAAATGCCGTGTGCATTTCTGCAGCCACAGCACAGCATGCTAGCAGCCAGGAGCACAGGCCAACAGTGTGGACAGCAGCTAGATCTAACTGGTAAGTCTGTCTCACAGGGCACCTTGGCGCCCTACTCCTAGAGAGGGGAAACTGCCAGGGAA